TCTATTATTAGCATGTCACGTTTGGAAACTAATTGGTAATCCAAATTATGGTTTGAACCTTCCAAATGTGCTCCAGGTCTTTAATTTGGGCTCGGATTGAGTCAAATTTGTTGTCATTGGGTTCGTATTTCCGAGACTTCAGTTCAACTATAAGTTCGCTGAAATCGGAGTTCGGATAGTCCCATATTTAATTTTGGAAGTTTCCAACTTGATTTTGCCTTGAGATTTGTGCCCGATCAAGATAATTTTTTGATGATATATATATTATAATGACGCAAAATTGAGATTTCAATCATAAAAAATCCGATTTCCATATGATCTTTAACGTTATTTTCAACTAAAAAGAAATTAAATGCTGATCATATCAAACTTTTTAGATAGAGGTGTTGTAACATATTCTTTGATATCAAATGGTAAGAAATTAAGAAAATAATAAATATTATCATTTTATTTTAGTCATGCATATTTTTTAATTTCATAATCAATTTAAAATAATAATTCTAAATTATAGGCATATTTCCATCACTCATTAATAGCTCGTTTTTTTCTTCACATGACATTAGATCCTAATGATGCCTAATTACCCATTCTTCACATGCCATTGAATCATGTTGATGCAAGTTCACAGTAGTTGCAAACTCCTCTTGTTCTTCACAAGCCACTATATGTCATCTATGCCTTGGACTCATTAATGACTTGGTGAGTTGAGTTTATCGAGTTTCAAGCTCGAACTGGAGCAGAATTTCGAGCTCGTTGGATTATCAAGCTTGAGCTTGATCCAGAAGATGCTCAACTCTATTACTCATTGAGCAGCTAGACGCGAACCATCAGCCCACAGAAGGCGAATTGGCGAAGCATGTGCTAACCACAAAAGGTGAGCTAGCGTCTACACGTGCGAACCACAAAAAGCCGGACTGGTGTGCAAACCCTACAAGAGAAGGCATGATCTCACGAGTTCGCTTTTAGTGGAACAAGTTGAGCTTGAGCTCACAACAAGGTGAGCTCAACTCGAGTTCGAGCTCATAAATTGACTCGTGAGTCGAGCTTGAGGCCTAACTATAGCTCGACTCGACTTATTTACACTCCAAATGCCAACTAGCTGACCATCAACAACAATTATTTTTCGCACGCTACTAGACTCTCAACGAAGGACACCTACTCTAGATCACATTCACATCAAATTCAAGCTCTTGTTGAAACCAAATTCGAATTTGAACACATTTGAATCAATTTTAAAAACTTCAACTAAAAAAAACTGTCTATAAATATATGAGATTATCTCCTAATAAAACTAATTTTATCTAAAATAAAAGCTTGACAACAAAAAACCGAAAAATTAATCCCTTCAATATGAACTCAGCAATCGTCCCACTAATAGTTTTTTTTTTTCTTTTTTATTACTGAATGTGCCATCTGCCAAACATTATCTCTTTTGCCATCATCAGAATAATATATCTGTAGAGGTGAACAAAATGCTTTCACCGATGACTTACGAGCGCCCCTTCTCATGCCAGCTTAGGCCACTTGGACGAATTTTAATTAGGTCTGGTGTTCTGACGCAGCTCTATGTTCGGACATCAGTAAAATGGTGCCACGTGCTCTTACTCTTTACCGCACGGCCCGACGACCGGACCCAGGATTGCTATGTATTGGCTTATTTGTGCAGACCGGGGTATTGGTAGGTATTGCTCGATATTGTTCGGCAATAACGAGAAATATTATTCTGTCAAGACCAATACCTAGCAATACCGAGCAATACCTAATAAAATTGTTCGGTATTGCTAGGTATTGCTCGGTATTGCTAGGTATTGGTCTTGACATAGCGGTATTTCTTGTTATTGTCAAGCAATATCTAGCAATACCTAGCAATACCCGAACATAGCAATGCCGGGTTCGGGTCCGGGTCGCGTCGTCGGGCCGCATGATAAAGAGTAAGAGCACGTGACGACATGTTATTGGCATCCGAATCCGGACCTAATAATTGTTCCACTTAGACGCAACTGTAATCATCAAGTAATAATATACTTATTTATTATTGTACTTCAAGTGCACCACGTGTCATTGGTAGCGTATTAGTAGAGGTGCAAATAAATGCACATAAATGAATATAGATATATTTGTGTGACTTGTTATTATTCATAGTCGGTTAGTATTTATTAATATTTGAATTTTTCTTTTTATACTAAAATCACTATTATTTGACTTTTCAAATGTAGAAAATGGTACAGTAAATACATCAAACGATAAATTGTTATTATTTTGAATAAAATGATAGCAAAAAATTAAATTCATAAACTTATTATGCGTAAGCAATTATTTGGGGTTTAAATTGGTGGAGTTGAGTTATTAGTTGATAAAATCAAGCTCGTTTAATTTATATTGAGCTTGAGCTCGGGCTTATTTGCTGAGCACAAGTTAGATTCGAGTGAAATTTTTGAGGCTTGAGTATGACTCAAATGCTCGAGCTAGACTCATTTTGGAGCTCAATTTCTTATTTTGATGATGTGTTATTTAATATGAATCGAGTCTGCTTGACAAGCTGAGTCAGGTCAAGCTTGAGCTTTAACTTATATAATCTATGAGCTCGAATTTAAGCTCAAACCCAAACTTGTTTTTCCATAAACTTGACCAATCACCAATAAATTCGTTAATGAGTCGAATTCAAACTATAACACAAGCCAGCTTGTCTCACTTCCACACCTAGCAGTTATCAACATCATATACAATCACTAGTGTTCCTTGAAAGTAATCACTAATGTTCCATGCTAGAATATTCACGATAGTAAAGTATTAAATTTTACATCTTACCATTGCACGAGTATCTAGCTCACAAATAGAGAAAGAATAAAAACATCAGAACTTTTTTACATGGATCTACCAATATATGAGTAGATTACAAATAATAGATTCATCCTCGAACTTTAGGACAATCAAAATTACAATAATTCGCTATTGGGTCGAACTCTAGCAACGAACAGAGGTTGGACGAAAGTCAGGCGACAGTCGGTAGTCGAGCGAAAATCCAACAACTGCTGGTGGTGGTGCAAAAGTCTGGTAATAGTCCGACGATAGCCGGTGACCGGACAATGGTCGAAGAGGAGGAATTTGGTGGCAAGAGAATTATGATTTACTCTCTCATTTCTTCTTGCTTGGTCCTCCCTCAATGACTAATGAGATGGCTATTTATAATTTTTGAGAGTGTCATGGCCAATAAATAGGGAGGAGATCAAGGGTATGTTGGAAATATTTTGAATGGATGGTAGATATCGACCCCCTCAATCGTAGATCGTTTATTGAGTATTTGAGTGTCTTAATGATATCAGAATTCGATGATCTTGAGCTCGTTGGATTAGTCTTGATGAGCCGCTCGATTCAACTATAAGCATACCACTTTTTGAAACCGTTTGGTTATCCAATTTATGATTTGAACCTTCTAAATGCGCTTTAGGTCTTTGATTTGGACCTATTTGGGCTCAGATTGAGTCAAATTTGGTGTCGTTGGGTTCATCTTTTAGAAGATATTCAATTCACCTATAAGTTTGAAAAAATTGGAGTTCAAATGGCCTCGAATTTAATTTTCAGACATTTCCCACTCATTTTTGTCTCGAGATTCGTGCATGATCATGATGAATTTTTTATGATATATCAACTACACAGATTTGATTTGAGAATAATTTATGTACAACTGAAAATTTTTAATTATACATTTAATACGTAAAATTTTTGTATTTATGTCATCTAACACTCCATTAACCTTTGCTAATAAATCTCATCGGCCACTCCGCGAACACAAGGATAGAAGATGACCAAACTGCTGCACTAGTTTGCCACTCACAGTTGCCCATGTTCACCCATCTCTACTTAGCGAAAGCATCATAAAGAAGCCCAACTCCGTTCCAGCCTGCTCTAGCCTCTAGTCCATGAAGCTATTTTTCTCCCCTCCTACCGTGATTGACAGTATGGGAAATTCAACAGAAGGGACAGCATATGCAAAAGATGTTGTTTTTTTTTCTATTTTTGGTGCTATGCTTCTATATATGTAAATAATCAATTTTAGGTGTTATCTATATAAATCTAAAAAATAATATTATATATAAATCTCCAGAATTTATTAAAAAAAATTAGAAATGACATTTCTTTATTAAATTTAGATGAGAATTTAATTTTTAACTGAACAAAATAGAGAAAATTGATTCATATAACCGAACCAATATATTAGGACAAAGACTTGTTGTTGCTATTGTTGTTGTATATATATGTAAATCCCTCAACATTGTATCATAAACTCTTCACTCAAGCAAAGATATATGACTTGCTTAACGAAATGAATAAGGCTTAGTTTGAGATGGCTTTTTTATTATTTATTAAAACAATTTTTAAATGCAAAAATTTTAAATTTTGTACTAAAAAATTGTTTTAAAAAAACAGTATAAAAGCCATTATAAACAAAGCATATGTGAAAGCTGAGGAATGGCAGTGAAGCCGACAAAAGCATCTGTATGTAATGCAATGATTTAAAAAATCCGAACTACCAAAATTGTATAATAGTATTCTTTCATGGAATAAACGGAATAACTTTCATCCGATATATCTGCTCAGTCGGCAGCCTGAGTCCTAGATGCTTTGCATCTAATACCACATTTTGGTTCTTCTTATGATTTTTTTTTAATAATTTGGATAGTATAGTTGTGGTTTCTTATTGTCCACTTAAGTTTTTTGTTTTTTTCTTATGTTAGGCTGTTTTTCCTTTTCCTTTTCTTCTTTACTTGTAATTCATTTACCAAGTAATAGATGGGCTTAATGCCCCAAAATTTCTCAAAAAAAAAATTTTCAATTTACTAATGCCCTGTTCCATCATCATTGTAAAAGTCTCAATTATTAGTAATTAATCTATCCTATTTGGAAAGCGAATTAGGTACAAAGAAACAGCATTTGCAGGAAATTGACAGTGACGACAAAAGAAAGCAGCAGTGGCTCTGGCACCGGACCATCTCTCTCTCTCTGTGTAAACTTCCTGAAATATATTTAACAGACGTATTTACAAAGCCCAAACATACCATAAGAAAAAGGAAATAAAAGAACATAATGGGAATTGGTTGGCACATAACCAAACCCCTTAAGAGAAAGCTCAATACAACAATTTCCACTCCTTCAATGGAAGAAAGGGTGGCGACATCATTTCTCAGATATCATAGTCAACATCACTAACATTCTGGGACGATGAGCGCATCACCAACCGTCCATGTTCATCATAACGATCAAGATTCTCACAGGGAACAGGGAAAATGGATCCTATCACACGGCCGTCAACAAATGAACACTGGAACAAATGTTTCTTTTTGTAAGTAATACCAATTGATATGTCATGGAAAGTAACATTCTGAACGGGGATCTCCTCACTGCCCTGGATTCGCACAGGGACTCGAACGCCCTGACCATGGATACCATCATAGGTGATATTGGAAATGATGGGGAGAGCGTGGGGATCAAAGTCGTCGTCTGGGTGTTCGTTGTAGTCTGTCTTGATTACAATCCCCACGCGAACGTTGTCCAGGGTTATGTTATGGTAAGAGATGTTCTTTACATAAGCGCCCCTCCCAGGGGCGGTCTTTATGCGGACTCCCCGTCTTGAACCCCATATGTGTATATTTTCAACGGCAACGTTGGAGACTCCGCCGGACATCTCACTTCCAATTGAGATTCCAGCGCTGGATAACATAACGAGGATGATACATTAGTTATTGCAAAGCAGCTCAGTAGATAATGAATGAATGCCTAATAAGATACCTCTAAGGTTTGATGATTGACCACCACCTTTTTTTTCTTTTTGTTCATGGAGTTATTAGTTCAATGATTTGCCTAAATATAAAGTTTAATATTGGGCTAAAGTTCTATGTAGGGGTGTCAATTTTGGGTCACGGGTCGGGTTCTGGTCGAACCCGAATTTGACCCGACAGTATTCGGGTAAACTTGAACCTGACCCATTTTTGCAAATGGGTCAGTTTTTTGGAACTGAACCCGACCCGCTTCGGGTTCGGGTCACCCCACAACCCGAATGACCCAGGACCGTGAAAAAATTACCAGTTTTTGGGTCAAAAAAATGAGTCAAACTCTGCTTGTCGTGTCAAAACGGATAAAAAACGAGTCAATCTCAAGTTTCCGGATCAAAACGAGTCAATTTCGGGTCACTTTTGGGTCAACGGGCTAATCTCAACTCGACCCGATTTTTTAAACGGGTCTAATTGTTGAACCCGAACCCGACCCGTTTTGGGTCCGAATTGACCCTAAACCGGAATTTTAGAGTCGGGTTCGAGTTGGATTTTTAGGCCGTGTCAAATATTGACACCCCTAGTTCTATGGCACTTTGAATGAGTAAACCAAGGTTCCAACAAGCATTCAAAAAGCAGCCAAAAACGATGTTCTGCAGATATTCCGGTGCACTTTCAACTAGGAGATTTTTGGATGTTTAGGGCTTTTCCTATAGGATATTTGATACTTTAGGTTCCGTTTATAAGCAAGGTTTTGGCAATGAGTCAGCTTCCTAAAGTTTAGAAGGAACCTGATCCAGTACACAATAGAAAAACTCTGCAAGTCCAACTAATGGTTAAGCAAAAGTCTCCATTATAGCTACTGCCTGCTTAAGCGGTAGTTCGAATGAAACAAGACAAACAAAGATTAGAAGAGGATGATATAAACTAAATAAGAAGTAACATATCAGGAAAGCATGGGATCGCCTCATTTTACTATTCTCTATAAGCTTGAATAAATAATCCTATCCGTATAAATGAATTAATGGTCTTATATATATAGACGCAGCACAGACTAAAAAAGTTTATATATTTATGCAAAAGTCTGAGTGTGCAATTCAATTGAATTTTACTTTGCAAGTCCAGCTACTGCTTCAACACACAAAAATTAGGCAAGAATTCTTCTGGTAATTACGTCAAATCTATGATTTCCTTGCATATCTTGATAAAGATCCAAATGAGGTGTGTGGAAGAATCCTAGGGATTCATCCACTTATCAAATTGAAATAAAAAATTTAAAGAAGTCTGAAGGGAAGAAAAGAGATGGTGAATAACATTTGAAGGTTCCAAAACACTCTCATAAGTCATTTTAAGAAATCCACTCTTTCATCATAAGGCTGAAGCAAAACCCAAAACATGACCCAAGGCATGGAAAGAGATGTAATCTTTGGTGTGATGTCTGTAAAAGGATTATTCTAATTTGTTGGTTTGTCATAATGTTTTGAACAAATTTCCAAGCAATACAAAAATACTCACACTTATCAAACTAAAAACGAGGGACTAAAGATGAAAAGCAATGAAAACCATGATGATATTTTTTAAACAAAGAGCAATTGAATCTTCTATACAGATTATTCACTCATGAAAAAGTTGTTAGCTCCTTCCTTTAGCCTAGAAAGTTACTTCTTCTCTTGCTCTTATCTGTAATAAGGAACAATAGAAATCCTAGATTATTAATTCAAAAGCATCAGATCATATGGCATGTTATGCTCATCTATTTTCTTATACTCCCTCACAGTAAAACTTATTTCCTTCTACATTCACTAATAAAAATATTTTTTAAAGTAGAATATGTCATCTTCACAAACACCAAATAGCTATTTGTGAACTAAAGCAGAATATAAATCCATCAAACCTTTTTCACTTGTGCCTGGATATGCCATCCATATCGCAAAACTATGGTTTTAAAATCAAATCGGGCATGAAACCAAAAACAAAGGTTCATGGTTCAAATGGTTCAACCGGAGTTGAACCGTATGATGTAATAAACATTAAAATTATTTAGGAAAATGACCAAAATGATCTCTTTACTCTTTATGAAAGATTAAAATGGTCCCCAACAATATTAAATGACCATTTTAATCCATCAAATCCTTAAAAAGAAACCAAAATAATCTCATGGTTGGCCTATTTTGGTTTTTATTTAAAGAGTTAAGGGACCAAAATGACCATTTAATATAGTTGGGGACCAATTTGATTTTTTATAGAGTCAAGGGACCATTTTGATACTTTTCTCAAAATTATTTAAATATAATACAAATTATGTAATAATGACACAATCATATGCAAAATATTAATAAACATAATCATATTATGAAACGTAGAACATACAACATAAATAAAACTAATAATTTTAAAATTAAAGATATAATAACCTCTTTATTTTTGTTAAATATTCATAAATATAAGTTTTGCGCTAAATGTAAATTTGCCAAATTGTGAATAGATTATATGCCTCAAGTTAAAACATTAGTGCAATCTCAAATTATAAGTTAAGGTTTTTAAGATATGTTATAATAAAATCAAATAAATTTATATTTTTAATTTTTAGGGTAAAAATTTCAGCCCTTGGATCTTTAATGAATAATAAAAGGCTACAACTTGCACCATCCAGTTTGACAATTCCCCAATCAAACTGGCAATTCAAAATGATTCGAGCTAGTCTAAGGCAAATATGACATTTGAACCTAAACAAACCGACAACTTGATTTGTTCACGCTCGAGCAGGCTGGTTTGTTCCGATTTCAAAATGTTGCTCAAAACCTCAACTCCAAATGATGTTTCATTATTTTTATTGATGATGGCACATGTGTGATAGTTGTACTTGTTAAAACATAAATTAGATGCATAACAAACTTCCAAAAACTTTCAAAGTGTGGTTACAACTCAATGCTCTATGAAATAAAGTCCACCAATCTGACAAAGGTACAAAATACTTTAACCACATTCTGAGAACCTACCTAAATCAAAATGGAATTATGCATCGAAGCTCTTGCCAAAGCACTCCTCAATAAAGTGGTATACCTGAATGAAAAAATACACACATCTTAGAAGTTAATAGATCTATTATGTTTACCACTAATACCCTCAAATTTTATTAAGGTAATGATATCCTCACTGTCTGCTACCTTACAAATAAATAACCTACAAATGCACCTTTGTTCAAACTCCAATAAATGTGCCTTCCAAATGATTTTCTAATACTCGTAAAATTTTTAATCTTTCAACCACAATCATTAACCTAATGAAAATAAACTTTATTCCAAATCCCTCAAGAGTATCTTAATTGGGCATGGGACAAATCAAAAGGGTTTAAACAATATTCCCTTAATACAAGGAAAATATTTATATCCCTGGTGGATACTACATCCAAAAATTTTCCTTCAAAAAGATAGAGAAATGAAAAAAAAAAAAACATATATATATATATATATATAGTTTCCTCTAAAACTCTCCAACACATTAATACCACCAACCTTCTTAGACACAATACATTGAGGTTACCTAAACTCCTCTTCACTCAACCACATAACATCCCACTAAACTACAAGCTTACTTTCAAAGGAAGAATCTACAAAGAAGTGAAATCATTCATCTCCTGAAGCTTGTCATGAATCCTACTTGCATTCGATAAATTCTCAAAAACTCATCTTTCTTGTAAAAGTACTCAACATCCTCTAGAAAATATGGTGAGATATGACCATATTTCCTCAAAAAAAAAAAATTCTCCAACCTTGCAAATATTGAAATTTCAAAGGCAATAAAAAGACCCTTAAAAATTCAAATGGAGAGAGATTGTTGAAGACAAGGTGAAAGCACTTGAAAAAAAATAAAACATGGGAAGTTAATCAAAGACACAAGGATAACATCCCTATGGAATGTAAGTGAATCTTCACCATGAAATATTGATCCAATAGATCCACAAAAGATTTGAAGCACAACTAGTTATGAAAGGATTTACCCAAACTTATAGAATCAATTATTCTGAAATTTTGCTCTTGTCGTAAAAATTAACACCATTAGAATACTTATGTCAATGGCAACCAATCTTAACCGACTACTCCTTCAGTTGGATTTTAAGAATATATTCTTGAATGATAACTTAAATAAAGAAGTTCACATGGATCCTCCTATCGGAACCGAAGAGTCGACGACTATATGAAGACAAACTTAATCTATCAATTGAAGAGATATATTTACGGGCATAAACAATCACCTCGAGCCTAGTCGAAAGGCCTACAAAAAATGTGAAGCAAAAGGGTTCAAACAGGCTCACTTTAAATCACATTTTATTCTACAAACATAAGATTGGTAAGTTTACCATCCTAATTTTTTTTTGTTGATGTATCATTGTTATATCGAGGCAGACCTAAAAAGACTTGGTTAGAAAATATTAGGAATGACCTTTCTTTATTAGATTTAAATGAGAATTTGACCTTTAATAGGACACAATGGAGAAAAAGGATTCATGTAGCCGACCCCACGTAGTGGGATAAAGGCTTGATGTTGTTGTTGTTTGTTGTATGTATCATTGTTATAGGAGATCATGATTTGAAGCTAAGTATCTTGAAGGGAAACTCACAAAAGAGTTTAAAATCAAAGAATTTAAGCATCTAATGTATTTTATTGAAATAAAAATATCTAGGAACAAATTTGGCCTCATCATCTCTTATATATATTAAATTTCTTTAATAAAATTAACTAATTGAAAATAAATCGGTTGGCAATCCAACACATCATATCATTAAATCGAATGATGCTATCACTAATTCTCTAGTTAGTAAAGATATTGAAGGAAAGTAGGGAAACTTGTCTATTTGGCTCATCCTAGACCTAACACACCCTTAGAAAGAATACTAAATGTTGTTACTAGGATATTCTAGTACCTAAAAGGAAGCCCC